CTGGATTCTGTCTTCGTATCCAATCTGTTAGCCTATGTCTTTTTATAGGTGAGTTAAGACCATCAATATTGAGGGAAATTAAGGACCATTCAGTGTTTATTCTTGTTTGTTTTCGATTTGCTGTTGGTAATGGTATTGTATGTGGATTTACCCTGCTTTTTCTTTTGGGTTTTCTTAAAGTGTCAAAATGCAATTTTTCGAGTGTAGTTAATTTCCTTAGGTTGGAGTTTTCCTTCCAGTACTTTCTGGATTAGTGGTTACATATTGTTTAAATCTGGTTTTGTTGTGGAATATCTTGTTTTCTCCATTTAGAGTGATTGAAAGCTTTGCTGGGTATAGTAGTCTGGGCTGGCATCTGTGTTCTCTTAGAGTTGGTAGACTATCTATCCAGGTCCTTCTGGCTTTCAGAGATTCCATGGAGAAGTCCAGTGTAATTCTGATAGGTTTTCCTTTATATGTTACTTAGCCTTTTTCCTTTGCTGCTCTTAATATTCTTTCTTTATTCTGTAAGTTTGGTGTTTTAATTATTATATGATGAGGGGACTTTCTTTTGTGGTCCACTCTATTTGGTGTTCTGTAGGCTTCTTGTACCTTCATTGGCATGTCTTTCTTTAGATTTTCTTCTATGAATTTCTTGAATATGTTTTCTGCACCTTTGAGTTGGGTTTCTTCACCTTCTTCTATACCTATTATCCTTAGGTTTGGTCTTTTCACGGTGTCCTGGATATTTTGTGTTAAGGATTTGTTGGACTCAAGATTTTCTTTGCTTGATGAATTTATTTCCTCTTGTTTATCTTCAGCATCTGAGATTCTGTCTTCCATCTCTTGTATTCTGTTTGTCATGCTTGCATCTGTGGTTCCTGATCGTTTACTCAGCTTTTCCACTTCCAGCAGTCCCTCAGTTTGTGTTTTCTTTATTGTCTCTATTTCAGTTTTCAGGTCCTGAACTGTTTCCTTCAGTTGTTTAATTGTATTTCCTTGGCTTTCCTTGATTTATTGCATCTTTTGGTTTGTCTTTTCTTCCATTTCTCTGAAGGATTTTCTGATTTCCTCTCTTAGGGTCTCTATCGTCTGCATGAAGTTGTTTTTAAGGTTGCTGTCTTCTGCTTCATCAGTGTTGGGATGTTCAGGTCTTGCTGGTGTAGAGTCCCTAGACTCTGGTGGTGTCATATTGGTTTTCCTGTTGTTGGATGTGTTCTTATATTGTTGTCTTCCCATCTCTTCTTCCAGTGGGTGCAGGTGGTGTCTCTTCCTTTCCTGGTGTGTATGGGTCCAAGGTTCTCTTCTGGTGGGTACAATTGGCTCCGATACTCTGATGGGTCTCAAGGTGGGTGCAGGCCGGTCTGAGGCACTCACTCGACAGGTGAGTGAGAGCAGGACTAGCACAGAGATGTCAGCAGACTCTGGGTTGCTTGGTCCTCAGGGGCTGAGTCGACCTGCCTGCAGACCCCAGGGCAGGAGTTCCCAGCCAGGTGGTTTTCTCAGTTGCTCTCTACCTTATTTTTGATTTATGGCCCCTTACTGAGCCTGGGGCTCCACTGTGGACTGGGTGGACTGGAGAGCCTCCTTCCTTCACCTCCCCAGTGCTGTGACTGAAGGCATGTCCCACTGTGCCCACCCTCCCTTTTTACTTTGGTGCTGGGATCCAACTGAGGTCTCTATGCTTGTGTGGCAAACCCTTGCCCGACTGAGCCATCTCCTCTCCCTTTTATTAGTTTTTAGAGCATGGATTTCTTAGTGTGCTTCCCATGAAATGTATTTCACATGTCCCTTTAAAATTACCCAACTATACAGTATGGCTTTCTCTGGTCCAAAATAGTTGGATCTAGAAATATTTCACATTTTAAAGGCTCTTTCTCTCTTTGAATGTCTTCCAATTCTAATTTTAAAAATACAAAATCTGAAATACCCCCAAACCTGAACCTTAGATTTGAAAGCTTGGATTCAGATTATTCAACTAAGGGATCACTTGATTTATTATTGGAGATTGTGCTAGTGTGCTTAAAGGAACAGTGAATGTTAAATTTGTTTTTCCTAATTAAACTTGTTTCTATTTTCCTGAAAGAAGTAAATTATACTCATGTACCTAGTGAAGTCTACATGAGATCACTGGGAGGAGTTGTTTCATACTTGTCTTTGTGCTTAGTCCCTAATTTAATATTTTAATGACAGAAAACAATGTATCTTTAAGTGTGGTCACTTGCATCTCTCCTGTCTTTCAGCCCCCGATGATAACTTGCTCTTGCTTCTGCGAGCAGAGTTATATCTAACCATGAAGAACTATGAGCAAGCCCTGCGGGATGCAGATGCAGTCTGCCAAAGGGAGCCTCTCCTGACTAAGGTGAATTATGCTTGTTCATTGGGTTTGCAGAGGATCTATTTGAATGAGGTTAGGGTGTGTGTGTGTGTGTGTGTGTGTGTGTGTGTGTGTGTGTGTGTGTGTATACATGCATGCATGTGTGCAAGCATGTGTGTGCCTGTGTGTAAGAATGTGTACTCATGCATCTGTGTGTGTGACTGTGTGTGTGGTGGGGATATGTATACAACGTGTGTGTGTGTGTGTGTGTGTGTGTGTGTGTGTGTGTGTGTCATTACACTAATCTGTGTAGGTACATGTAGAGGCCAGAGGTTAACATTAGGATGTCTTCCTCAATTGCGTCTCCACCTTATATTTTGATTCAAGGTTTCGCACTGAGCCTGTGGCTCATTCATTAGATAGGCTTACTGGTCAGTGAACCCCTAGGATCCTCCTGTCTCCCCCACTCAGTATGTCACCTTCCCTGCTGTTTTCACATGGGTGGCTCAAATTAGAAGTCAAGTCCTCATGCTTGTGCAGCCAGCACTTTGCCACACTAAGACATCTTCCCAGCCCTAGGTCATGGTATTTTTAATCATGCTAACAAGGTTGGATTAGGCACCTGCAGGTAGCATTTTCTCTATTTTACAGTAGTCCAAATTTAGCAATTACTTCATACTAAATCAATTTAAAAGACCAAGTTAATCTAGGATTTAGATAATATTTAAACAGTATTTTCCTTTACTCTTGGTACATATTATATCTAGCTCAATATTATAGAATCAACAAAATCTCAAAATATGTGTTCAAAATGCCTGGGTACAGATATATTGGGGGTTTTGAATACTTGCATATTTTGAGGATAGTTCCATATATACAGTGTTATAGCTCAAGGAGGAGACTCCACTATAAACACACACTTTATGCTTTATATACAGCTTACAAAAGTAATTTCAATTTCTTATACAGCTTAATACAATATTTTAAAAATTTTGTGCATGAGACATAGCTTTATGGTTTGGACCTTTCTACATGAGACATCAGGCCAATGCTGAAAATGCTTTGCATTTTGGGACATTTCAGAATTTGGGGTTGGAAATGTCCATCTTGTATAAATAAATTCAAAAGTTACATGAAATTAAATCCAAAGAATTGAAGAAAAATTTGGTAACTTTTGAGTAATAACAAACCCAACAGGGAAACTGACCCCAAAATGACAGTTGTAAGTCCTGAGACTAAAAGGTGGTAAAGAGGCAAATAGCACATTATACACAGAAGGTGGTACACAGGGAAGTCACAGAGGAAGTGAAACCCAATCCAAGTAGCAGAACAGAGAGGGGAAAATAGTCTGTGGTATAACATATATTCAGTTAGAACCACAGGAGGGGAAGAGAGAAAAGTGGAGAGAGAAAAAAATTGAAAAGGTAATGGCTTTCAAATTTAGTGGGTATCTTAGCGTTTCTATTGTTGCAAAGAGACATCTTGACCACAGCAACTCTTGTAAAGGAAAACATTTGATTGGATGGCTTACAATTTCAAAGGTTTAATCCATTATCATCATGGTGAGACATGGAGGCAGACATGGTGCTGGAGAAGCAGAGAGTGGAGAAGGAGCTGCATCTTGAGCCCCCAGGCAACAGGAAGTATTCTGAGACACTGGCCATGGCTTGAGCATATATGAGACCTCAAAACCCGCCTCCACAGTGACACACTTCCTCCAACAAGGCCACACCTACTCCAAGAAAGTCACACCTCTGAATAGTGCCACTTCCTGAGCTTATGGGGGCCAGTCACATTCATTCTACCAGAGTGGGAAAGATTAATTTCATGTGCATATGAAACCATGCAAAAATGAACTCAAACCACAATCAATCTACTGTTTAAGGAAGTCTTGAAAGTAGCAAGAAAACACGGCATACAGGGAAATAGCAATATGGATGGCTAACATCTCATGAGACATCGTGGAAGCCAGTCAGCATGGGAACAGCATATTTAAAGTGGGAAGAGAAAACATCAGCATGCCTGCAAAGCAAGACCCACAATATGGTATCTACAAAAAAATTCACTTTAAAATGTGAAGACATTAACATATTTAAGTGGCTGGGAAAATGTTTTATGAAAATGCACAGTATGCAGAGCTTAAATGGCCATATTAATCTCAAAGAGTAGTATCAGTAGAAACTTTAGAGACATAGAAGAAGACTTCGTCTCACCGGAATTGACAGTTGTAGAACAATGCATTTAACTATAGCATACATATCTTTTTTTTAATGAATGTTAGATCCAGTGTGCCTAAAACAGTATCAAGATTTAAAATATTGAAATCTTCAAATGAATGTTCTCTCAAAACAACCAAAAATTGAAGTCAACAAAAGCAACAAAAATCTAGAAAGCCCTCTATACATGCAACTCATTTCTTAAAGAATCCTTTGGACAGAGAAAAGATCAAAAGGGAACTATCAAATAGTTAAAACTAATAATATAAATAAATATATTATACATTTTATTTCTTAGAGGTAGTTAAAGCCGTTTTTAGAGAGAAATTTGTATTATTATCATCTCCTGTTAAAGGACAAAGGCCTCAAATCTAGCTTCTATCTTATGATACTGATTGAGAAGAGCATATTAAAACTAAGTTGAGGTGCTGGAGAGATGGTTCAGTGGTTAAGAATGCTTGCTGCTCTTCCAGAAGACTTAAGTTTGGCCATGGTGGGTGACTCACATTCATATTCAATTCTAGCTCAAGGGCATACAACATCCTCCTTTGGCCTCAGCAGAAACCTGAACACATGTGGCATATACACTCAGTCACACACAGACACAAAAACAAAAATAAATCTTAAATAAAATCGAGGTGAATAAAAGAAAGGAAATAAATGTAAGATCAGTGGCCAAGAAATGGAACCAGAAAGTACATGTTACAAAAACAAGAAATTTGATAAGTAGGTCTTCACCAAATTTCAAAAGATACTGGTGCAGAGTTGAAAAGCTAAACACATACGAGGAACAGGTAAGACTGTGCGGTAAGGAGGAGTTGTACTCAGCATCTATGGAGTGATCTTACCAATTCAGTAATAATCCACACAATTGGTTAGGTGGTTAAGGAATTTGAGTAGTATTTCACTAAAACAGACTTGAGAATATCAAAGAAACATAAAAACGATGCACCATCTCTTTAGTCCCAACACCTTCTTCTGACCTCTGAGGTCACCTATACCTGTGTCATACACACATGTACACATTTAAACAAATGGTGACTGTTAGTATATAGAAATTATAACTGTTTTGCTGTTGTAATCTATAGTATATTTTGAATTCGGATTAATTCACATGTATGTCTGGCTTTGATCTTTGGTTCAAGATTGCTTTAACATTAATGATAAATATATTATACACTTAATTTCTTAAGCTATTCAAGAGATTTGTAAATTATATGAATTTCATAAATCACATAAACAACAAAACTATGTTGATAGATTCCATTTCTTTCTTAGCATGTCCTTCAGAACTTCTTTGGGCACAAATCTCAGTTACAGTGATAAATGAATTCTGATTGTAGATGTATTTATTAAACAGCAAAGTTTGTCTTCAGAACTGTTTCAAGATGGAGTTACCGTGTACACATATCCACCTAATCTGAAGTTATAGCAAACTATTCTAACACATTTTCCAGGGCTTATGGTCACCAGATACATATAATCTTGCTGTGTTTTAAAACCCATTCTTTGTCTTTGGGCAAATCCAGGGGCACCATATCAAAGCTCAGATTCTTTCCGGATTGGGAAGAAGTAAAGAAGTGTTAAAGGAATTTATCTACTGCCTTGCTTTAAATCCTGAATGTAACTCAGCAAAGAAAGAGACACAGAAGGTATGCATTCTCATAAAGGACTTCCTCCTTCAGGTATAACATGCGACTTTGTGTCATGTCGGGAGCCCTTGCCTGTTAGAGCAACGCATGTAATTTCAAGTGTCCACGATAGTGTGATTAACAACAACAGTAACCATATACACCACATCCGAAAAATTTTAATTAGATATGCAGCAGCAGAATGTCTGATGAGGTAAATGTACCCATACCTCAGTTATGATGAAAGATTGATATGTGAGGCCAAGTTGCAGCACAAGGCTGTGGAGACGGTGTTGATCCTAGGGTTTGTCATTGTCCTAGAGCTTGGCTTGTGAAGGACACAGTAAGATGCATTATGGCATGTAGCATGAACAGTTCGGCTCCACAGACTGAGCTGTGATGTGCAGCCAAGCTTCACCAGCATGGTCCAGAAAGTACTGTGTCACACTTAATGTCGGAATCTATCGTAGCCAAATGCCTAGACATTCTTTCTGTAGTGTTTTCGGGGATTGTGAGTTTTAGGTTTACGTTTGTCAGTGTTTCCTGTTTTAAAATAATTTGACTCAACACAGCTACTGTGTGTCTACATTATAACCTCTGCTGATGAGCACATTTCATTTTGTGATGCAGTAGAACAAAAGTCAGTTTTTCCGTCCACAGTTGTGTGAAACCACTTTAGGTACTTGGGACAGATTTCTTTCTTTCTTTGAAACATCTTTTTTTTTTTTTTGGCACAGAAAAGGGTTTCTGGGCTTCCCTCCTCTGGGTGCATTCCCATATTTTTCCATTGGTAAGATAGATGGAAAGGGGCTAAAGTCTACAGTTCTTAACACATTGTGTATAGTTTCAAAATGTTTGTATTTTAAAAGATTGGAAATTGGGATATAGCAATTATTCTTTTTTTGTTTTTGAGGGCCTGTTTGGCTTGTGTTGACTCTGGACCTTTAAAATGTATTAGAGACCCACACACACCACTGAGAGGATTTTACAATGTATTTTCTCTTCTTGAAAAATAGGTTATATGTGAGGTGTTCTTTCCAGCTTCAGAGAATGAGCATCAAAATTCAACAGCTCCTACCCAAATCGGACCAAAGGCCCATTGTGATGACCAGATGAATCCCCAGCATCCTCTGGAAGAAGGCAGTGATGCTAATACAGGCAGTTCAGAGGTGTGAATTGCATGTGTCTGCCATTGGGTTGCTTTATATTTGGCAGTTCGTTGGGCATCATGGATCACATAGACTAGATGTCAACACTAGTTAAAAGTCACTGGAACTAATGGAACATCACAGATGGGAACTCTGGACTCCCTCCAACGCCTCCACACATTCTGGAACATCTCCAGAACATCAGGAAACCTCGTATTATTTTTGTCTTGGAGAAAAGAAAGTAGAGACAGATCTGAACATCTGATATATAACGTATACATTGATGTATATGACATAGATATGAAGATTGGTCTTCTCAGAAAAAAATTATCCTGTGTTTTTCCATGAAAAGTGCAAAGCACTTCTGGTTACCTGATAGAAAAAGCCAATCAGGCTTTGGAGCACAGGTCCTCTTTTTTTCCCACAGAGATCTATTTTGTGTGTTTAGAGACTATGGGTAACCCCTAGATGTTTCTTCTGTTGCTTTCACTGAACGTTTTTGAAACGAGATATCTCGATGATCCTGGAGCAAATGTGTCAGCTGGCCTGGCTGTCTCTCCTCACACAGAAGTTTCAGACATACTCAGCTCTGCCATACTCAGCTTTTACAAACAGAGCCTGAACCCTAACCCAAGGCTCACTTGCACAGCGAGCACTTTACCCAGGGAGTGGTCTCCACAGTCCCTTCCTCAAGATTTCTAAGAAGGCTACTGCATGTCGTTTTGCTTTGTTTTGGTTTTCCCTTGTATCCTATGGTTCTTGAATATGCAGGGTTATTTTTTTTCCTTCTGAAATAGAATCCATCTGAGAAGTCTGATGTACTCGGGAATGCCAGTTCTTCGGTTTTATATTTTATTCTGGGCCTACACTGTGAAGAGGACAAAAAGGCTTTGGAAGGTGTCATCCCAGCAGCACCAAGCAGCACTTTAAAGAGACAGCTTCCAAGTGACACAGAAGATGAGTGTGACAGAAACACTCCCGAAAAAGTCCCCAAGAAAGGTCAGCAAGCTGTTTCCTACCATGATACTTTGAAATCAAAAGGGGTAGAGTATTAGTACTCAAATGAACTTTAAAAAGCTCTTTACTCAGTAAAATCCATAAAGAAATGTATACACCAGCTTATTTTCTACAATATATTTTGCAGGGGTTTTATAATGAAAAAGAGAACACCTGGATGGAATTTATTTTTCCTGAATTTGTACTAACTTGATCAATTCTTGCTTTATACTTGCTGGACAAGATTTTTTTTTTCAGCATCATTTGTTAACATTGATATTGAAGCATTTTACCCAAAAGAAATGAATTCATTGTATGGTGTTTCTCATAAATTTGGATGTTAGTTACAATATTTGAAAACTTTTTCAGATGCAGATTCCTCACCTCAGGGGAACGTGAACTCTCTGGAAGAGCCAGAGTTCACGATTGACGTGACTGACTTTGAGTGTGCTCTGTGCATGAGGTAAGCTGATATAGAATACATGTTTGTCTTTTAAAAAGTAAATGTTTCTGAATTCTATAACCACATGCAAGGTACTGTTAGTAAACACACACACATATATACCTAGGACATCTTAAGGGTGTGTGTGTGTGTGTGTGTGTGTGTGTGTGTGTGTGTAGTTTGTGTGTGTTTGTGTATGTGTGTCTTACAATAAATTACTATTGCTATGATAAAACACTATACCAAAGACAATTTGGGGAGGAAATGTTTTATTTGGCTTACACTCTACATCCATAGTTTATCAATGAAGGATGTCAGAACAGGAACTAAAGCAGGGCAGGAACCTGGAGGCAGGGGCTGATACAGAGGCCCTGGAGGAGGATGCTTACTGACTTGTGCCCCAGAACTTGCTCAGCCTGATTTTTTATAGAATAGGCTGAGTCTTCCCACATCAACCACTAATTAAGAAAATACTCAATAGGCTTGCCTACAGCCCAGTCTTATGGAGGCATTTTCTCAACTGGAGCTCCCTCTTCTCAGATGACTGTGGCCTGTGTCAAATTAACATAAACTTAGCCAGCATAATGTATATCAATAATAATTGATTTATTTTCTAAGAATTTAATGAAGATGTAAAAAAAGAGCAGATACAAATGACTTCAAAGTTTTTATGGAAACTGCATGGGGCATCCTTTAAAATGGTAGTTTTTATTTTGAAAGTCTCTTATGGATATATCCTGGTGAAAACTCAACATCTTGTTTATAGGTTGCTCTTTGAACCTGTCACTACGCCCTGCGGACATACATTTTGCCTAAAATGCCTTGAGCGCTGCCTTGACCATGCTCCACACTGCCCACTGTGCAAGGACAAGCTTTCAGAGGTAAGGGGTTTGTGAAATGAATGAAAAGGCCCCTCTTCTGGTACTTTGGTAGACATTTTCTGCTTCTCTTCTACCATCTACTTGTTAAAATCACAAGTAGATTTTTTTTTTATCTAATATGGGTCATTTCCCACCTTTTTCATCACCCAAAACATATAAAGAAACATTAGATGCTGAAGTAGCCAAGTATTAAAGTAATTTTCAGGTATGAAGCATTGCGTTAGATTGAAAAAAAAACTAGCAGGGTATATATTTGGAGTGTATATTCACTTCAAACGGTTTGATACATTCTGGTGTACTTAGTGTGTGTCTGGGTTATTCCACACTGCTGCCAGATTTCTTTCATACCCTTTCCAGTCATCAGTTGCTACTGTCTTTGGTCTGAAACCAAATCCAGTAAAATTTAGGGTATATAGGGAAACTATCTGTTGATATTTATCTCAAACAGAAACTCTAGAGTCCATTGATACTGAGCGTGCAGACAAGATAGACGAATAGCATTGCAGAGCTGTGTGCTGGCCCCATTGTTGTCACTCACTTTCTGTGAGGTGAATTATTTAGCCTCTTGTAGTGGGTAAGGGTTTCTTTCACATCCTCAAATTGAGATTGGTGACCTTTGTTTTAGTTATCTCCAGAAATATGCCACATGCAATTTCTAGAATAACATGGTTTTCCTCCTTCCCTTTCCCCTCCCTCTATCACATTAAGTGCACACACTGAGACACACTCCCGAGACACGCTCTTAAGGCTAAAATAACTTGTAAAAAAAAATCTGACAGAGCAGAAGAGATTGCTAAAATGAAATAAAATTTAAGGCAATTGTAACTTTTTAATTCTTTGCCAAAGCATGTTAAAATATGTCATCATCATCAAAACCTTTCTAAAACGTGCAAGCATGCGTGCCTTACTGTGTAGCATGTTGCATTTGGTTATTAAATTGCAGTCACGGTGTGCATGTTTGAAATTTTCCTGTGTCTCAGGATGATTATCTGTGTTGTGTTATGCCTTAGACACGTTCTGAGTGTGTGTAGCAGTTCATTAGGGAGTGCCTCTGTGGACTCACCCACACTATTATCACCTCCTGCAACAGGCACACCTCCCCTGCTCCCTAGTGCACCTGTGTTCCTGGGATCCAGGGACCTGAAGATGCCTCCCTACGCTCATGAAAACAAAAGTTTGCCTCTGTGACCATTTGCAATATGAGTCTTTTACTCCTACTTTTCCTGCTGTCTCATGAGGGCTGGATGAAGATTTGGATGAAAATGTCACAGTAATACCCATTGCTCTGTGTGCTAACCAAAAAAAAAAAAAAAATGAATAGGGTTTTTCAAAAGAGAAAAACGAAACATCCTGAAAGTTTGCTAAATATAAGCCCCTTAAGGACAAGGACTTCAAGTCTCCAGGGAGCACTAGTCATCCACCAGCCAACCCATTTCTCTCATGCACAGAACAGACTCCCACAGGCTAGACTCAGTGCTAGTCATTGTCTTTCAGGGCCAATTACCGTTAGGTATCATTTAACGTATCTTTTCTTGTTATAGTTGTTGGCAACCAGAAACTTTAATGTAACTGTCCTGACTGAAGAATTGATGTTCCGATACTTACCAGAAGAGCTGTCTGCTAGGAAGAGGACTTACGACGAAGAAATGTCAGAACTATCAAAGTAAGTGATTATGTCACGTGAAGTTGGTCCTTTGTGCAGAATAATGAGGAAAATCTTTGTGGACACAAACTTACATTTCTTTTTATAACAGAATTTTTTGGTCTTTAAATAGAAAAAAGTTAGTTGCAAAATGTTTGTGGGCATATAATTGTAAGTAATTATAAGGGATATTTCAAAATATATTTTTGAAAGTTGTATATTTGTTTTCTGTGTCTGAATAACTTTCTAAATGGAAAGACAAAAGTCAGAACAGGAAGCAGGATTGTGACTCATAGGGATTCCTCTCCAGCTGGTTCAAGTTTGTGTCTCCATATAGAGCTGGTCGATCCTCTACTTTTTATTAAAACTTGATGCCTGTGTCTACTGTGTACTTTCTGATTTGTGCAGTGTTTTTAAGTGTAATTCAAAGCTGTAACTTTTACAAGTACAGTAATATAACTCAGGATGCTCTCTCCCATCATTAAATATGACGGGCTTGGCTACAAACTGGCTGAGTGGAGACCTTTCTTGTGCCAGGATCCTTGGCTGTCCTCACACTCTTAGGGCTGAGTCAGGCTCAGATTTTGTGTTGTTGGCAACTCTGGCTGTTGTAACAACTGCTCGCTTCTGTTCTGAACAGCTTATGTGTCTAAGTTAACATCTCCTCTTGCTCTGCAGCCTGACCAGAGATGTGCCCATCTTTGTGTGTGCCATGGCCTTCCCTACAGTTCCCTGCCCTCTCCATGTCTTTGAGCCCCGCTATCGCCTCATGATAAGAAGATGCATGGAAACTGGCACCAAGCGGTTTGGCATGTGTTTATCTGCAGAGAATGCAGGGTAAGAAACAGCATCTCAACGGTCCCAACTAAGTTCAGACTTCTTCCTTTCCCTGAAGAACAACTAAGGATGATGCTTGGAAATCGTTAGTTCCCATTACTTCTCAAAAAGTATAAGCTCAAGGCTGGACAAAGTAACACCCCATCCTTCCTTCCTCATCTTCGCTCCTTTTGTTCAGCTATTGCATTTGCCAGTCTGCTTCCATGTCGCTGTCCGAATTCTTAGAAGCCCATGCTTCCATGCCTCCAAGCCACCCTCTGCTTGCAATTCTCTTCTTGCCCGTCTATCTACAGACAGCTCTGGTTACATTATCAGTGAGGCTTTTCTCAATATCCACAACTCTAAAATTTTTCAGTTTTATGCAAACTGTGCCACCTGGTTTCACTTCTTGGTGCTTCAGGTCAGTTGTCTAGAGAGGATGTTGCAAGGCAGCAGGCTGTTGGGGCTTGCATTGGAGACTTTGAGTCCCTTCCTGTCCTAAGAGAGGCTTCGTTGGTGCTGCATGGCCATGGTCATGATGATGGCATAGCCAATACCAGCTGGTGGTACATGTACTCCTAGAGGATTCTGTAGGGGAAAAAAAGCCACCTCCCTTGTACTTACACCTGCTGGGAAGGAGGGTGGGAAGTGTAATCTGCCCATGTGCCCAGGAAAAAGAGGACAATGTATTTTAAGGGCCACTCAACAGATTCTACCATGAATACCCAGGGATAAATCGTCTTTTAAAGAGAATACACCTGTTTGAAGAAAATGCTAAAACTTTATTGATTCGCAGCCATGAAGCTGTAACTGAAAGGACCACATTAGTGGATGGTAAGTCTCAATGCCATAGAAAGGCCATTTCTATCCAACTAATTCATTCCATTCATTTCCCAAAAGGATTTTGTCTGCCCATTTTAGAATCAATGTGACAGGGAAAAAGACCAAGACCAGATAGTTTTGAATAAATCAAGTGACCAGAAAGGACATTTCCCTAATACCAGAATCATAAGCCATACTCAGGAGAGCTGTGAAACAGAACACGGAGATCATAACAGATCTGGTCAAATATGAATTCCAAATTTATATATAATTGCGTGAAAGAGAGAAACCACAAGTAAAAGCTGCCAATCAAAGTAGCAGGCAGTGGGCAGTCTAAATAGGACCACAAAAGTCTCTTCCCTTCTTTACGTTATTATGTATATGTTTTTTAACAGATTCCTGTTGTGAAAACCATAAATCATGAAATGTAAAAAAAATTAAAAGGAAATATTGGAGATTACTTTCACAGTTAGGATCAGGCAAAAGTTTTTTTGTTTTTTGTTTTTTGTTTTTAATATGAGACACTGAGTATGCACAGTAGCACGCAAGGGTTACAGTTTGGCTCACCAGAGCAGGGTGACAAAAGCTACAGCAGTTATACCAAGAGAGAGAACACCGGAGAACAAAAAGAATGAATCAGGTGAACCATGAACCATGCTACTCAAACGAATCAGAGAGCCGAGGCACTCAAGTCCCTCTAGCATAGGGCATGAAGGGAAGCCCGAGTGTGTTCGAGTTCAGCCAGTTTTTAAAAGCACATGGGTGGCCCTTTGTGGGACAGCATGAGACTGCATCTGCTGGGAACTGCAGGCAAGAGGGGTTTTCCCCACTCACAGGTTCTTGTCCACAGGCAAGATAAGACGTTACTGGGTGGGGTGAGCCCCACAGCTGAGGCAGACATGGGAGAGCTGATGACACTTGGAGGTCGGGTTTGCCAATAGCTAGGAAAACACAATACATCTTCAGGGTGCTTCCGTGTGCACACCACAGGAAGGAATGAGATTGTTCTGTTAGATAACATGGAAGGGAAAAAGCCTACTAGGCGTGCGAGTGATTTGTGACTTAAGAATTCACACTCTTCTTTAGATTAGGAGATACATAGTGCAGTTGCTCACTGTAAGAACTTAGGAAACAGGCATCTTAGGATTCAGATCTTCAAATCTTACTGTAATCTTAAATAAGCCTCCATGTTCCGTGAGGCTGGAGCAGGTACATATTATATCCTGTTGTGTGTACCGTCATGAATGTCACCGAAACATTGATGAGAGTTTTAGTAATGAACATGGGAGGAGCTCTAGGGAAAGTGTTGCAGTGAGAATAGATGATGCAGCTAGGGATGCCATCCTGGGCATCCTAGCATGTGAGAAGCCAGCAGGAGAAAAGCAGTGTGGAGGACCAGAGAGGTCACAGACAGTAGAAGAGCAATAGAAAGTGTTAGCTCGGTGGCAGGATGTGCCCACTGATAATGGCCACCTGGAGAGTACCTGTGGCTTCTGTTGGGATCATACATGGAATGGTGGGGTGTAAAGGGGAGGAGTGACTGTAAACTGCCTACCTCAGTACTTTGATTGGAGCAATGCAAGTGAAAGTAAGTGTGTGTTGGGTGCTCTGTGGGCCCGGAACAGAGTGTCTGAACACCAAGTCTTGTGCTTACTGAACCCCCAACATGGCCTGGCTAAGGGGCTAAAGCTCCACTTTTAAGATTTGGTCTCTTCCCATTTCTCAGATCCCTCTAGAGCTCTAGCTCATTTGATGCTAAGGCCTGAGACCGCTGCCAGCCCAGCCGCCATCTCTAGTATAGGCAGTATTCAGCAGAAGGAGGCATTATCACACAGGATGATAATCTTGCTGGCCTGGTGTACAGACACCCTTTGTTCAGTCTGGATTTACATTCCTTTTAAAAGCTACACGTTAGGGGAAACGAAGGCATCTGAATTTTAAACGCAATTGTCTCTTTCACCGCTGGTCCTTTCAGAATTTCGGAGTACGGCTGCATGCTGGAGATAAAGGATGTCAGAACTTTTCCCGATGGAAGCTCCGTTGTGGATGCAGTAGGGATTAGCCGCTTCAGAGTACTGAACCATCGCCACAGGGATGGCTATAACACAGCGGACATCGAGTACCTGGAAGATGAGAAGGTGGGGATCATTTTACTGGGGTCTCATCAGCATCACTCATCTTTGTTTTCCTCTCCATTGTGCTTACAGTGTTACTTCCTTCTTAATCCAGCCATGGGTTTTTACTTGAGTTAGAGATGGTAGAGAAATCTCCTAAAATAAAATGCCTTTACCACCCTTAGGGAACATGGACTTGTGCTCTCATGTTTGATAGTCTAGCCTGGGAACGGGCACACTTTTCCTATATAGGCCAGGTGACAGTCTGTCTCTGGTTTCTTGATAGAGTCAGTTGATAGTGTATTGAAAACATTACAAAAATAAGTTATGCCTCTAAAGAAAATTGATAGACACATTTGCCTTGTCATTATTTCCTAAACAACAGAGTATAGAGCTGCACGAAGCATTCATCTGTAGTCCTAGATTCTCTAGCCTGAGGAAGAAGGAATGATTGAGCCCAAGTGTGAGGCCAGCCTGGGCAACATAGCTTGATACTGTCTCAAGAACAAAACAATCAAGTGAACCAACTGTTTCTATTAGGTCAAGTAATCTATAGGTGACGCAAAATGAAAGGGGGATGGACATGTGTGGGCTTTATGCAAACAGTACATCATTTTATGTGGACTTAGATATCTGTGGAAGATATCCTGGCTCAATTCCCTGTAGGCTCAAAGGGATGATTGTGCTTTAGACCCTGTAAGTCATGTGTTTTTTCTTGTAATTACTGGTTCCTATTCTTAGGGTTTAAAAGCAGCAGTAGACCATGCTAGACTGGTTTTCAATACAATATTATTTACTAAGACATGGTGAGAGTTGCTGGAGAGATGGCTCAGTGGCTAAGACAACTGGCTTCTCTTCTAGAGGACCCAAGTTCTATTCCCAGCACTCACATGGTGGCTCAGAACCACCTGTATCTCAGGTTCGAAGAACTAGGATGCCCTCTTGTAGCCTCAAATGCACAAACATACATGTAGGCAAAACACCCATGTAAAATATAGAATTGGGGGGGGGATACTAAAACTATGGTGATGGCAAGCATTTGAGTCACAAGCAGTGATTCTTGGTATGGTTCAGCATGAGGTAAAATGTAAAATAGTAGTGCTTAAAGTGCCTTCCAAAACCAGTATGAAAACCTCTCACCCAGCAAGAATGATCTTTCCTTTTCAGAAATATCAGTACACATATTTTGATAAATAAGCAAAGAGTTTTGAACAGGTCCTTATAAAGATGTGTAGGGATCTCCTCAGGTCTCATCTGTAGCTAAAGAGAAAGTGGTCTAGACGCCCCTTGGGCAGATGCATATTCTCTATGCACACACAGCAGGCAAAAGTGTTGTCTCTTGTACACTCCCAGGAACAGGAAAAGCATGGCCTGGAGACAGAGAGCAGAATTGCAGGGTGGACTTTGTGCCTTACTGGGATAGGGGCTGGGGAGTCTTTCTGGGTAGCAGCAATGTTCTCTGTCTGGTTTAGGGTGGTAGTGTGTGATGGTTACACTTCCTTGTACAGTAGACAAAATTCCTTGAGCCTAGCAAGATCTTATAGCAAAATTAAAAATACTTAGGAGGAAATACTTTGAATTATTGTGTCCCTCTTTTAAATTTTTAGTGGAAACCTGAAATGTGGATATAAAAGTATGTACCCTCTCATATCACACTAGAGACATAGACACGTGTTCGTTTAAGTAGGATCACACCCAGAAGCACTGGTTCTGTCCGTCTCGTAACTTCTGGCGGCGAATGGCCCAGGGAACCTCAAAGATCAAAGGGACCTCATGAAGCCCAACTCCAAGGCCTCTGGATCACCGGGCTGGCTACAAAGAGTGGTCCAATGTGAAAGTTCTCAGCTCCTTCTACGGGATTGACAACAGATCTGATGAAGTGTTATTGGTGTTGCTGTCGATGACACCTTATTTTTAATGGTGTATGGATTTACTTTAAAGCCGGCTTTAAAAAGCAGCTAATGAGGGCTGGAGAGATGGCTCAGCCGTTAAAGGCTAGGCTCACAACCAAAAATATAAAAAGCAGCTAATGAAGTAATTTTAAAGAAAATCCCTCTTGCATGTAAATGTTGGTCTGTATCAGTGTAAGTCAAACCTATGACAGTTCTTTCTGTTGTTACAATTTCTATGGGTTTTGTAGCTGCTGGAGTTTTCTATCCAGGAAATACCTGGATGGTTTATTTTGCTTTACAGGGCCGTGATCCTGGCTGACACGTACTCATGAGAGCCAGCAATGAACTAAGACACGCCCAACGCTAGTCCCCTGCTCCTCCTGCTATGCCAGTCCATCCTATACAGGGCTGAGGGAGAGCTAAACGATTAGCTGGACAGTACGGAGTACCAGAAGCCAGGCAGGGCACAAGGCAGCGTGGCTAAGTGGCAACTAGCATGGTGGTGGAAGTGCTACTCCAGCACAGTTCCTGGAGTGTGACTTGGTTTTAGGAAAACAGTTTGTAAAATGCCAACTCTGACTTCTTGTTCTGCTTCTGGGAAACTATCCAGAGAAAGCAGTACCTCACAAAACACCCTCTTGTTTATATTTATTCATACATGTTTATTACATATGTGTACATATGTCCATGCACACACAACTTGCAGGGGTCTGCACTTTCTTTCCTTCTACCATGAGGGTTCTGAGGATCAAACTGAGGTCGTCCAGCTTGGCGTTGCATATTCTCACTCATTGAGCCATCATGCTGGTTCCTTTACATACATATTTATTTTAAAAACAATGTCAACTCCTGTAATTGGCCTGCTGATGCTCTTACAGTTATGGAAACTTGGCTTCCTTGGCCTGAGGGGACTGGGCTGTGACCTTCCAGAGGTCAAGTGTTGACCAGTGGCCCTTCACCTCCGGCAGAATAAAATGCTTCTGTGTCAATTAAGGGCTGGTAGCTCACAATAGGATTTAGAAGAGTAACAGGGGATTGAGGAGCTCCCATAATGCTGAGGGAAATGTAGATACATTCTTGCCATTCATTTATTTAACCCTGGAATATAGTTTAATTAAAAAGAAATTCAGAATAGAGTGAATATGGTCATATATATATATATATATTTATATATATATATAGTTACAAATGCACAGTGAAATTCAATATTACACATAATTGACATATACTAATAAGAACTTTTTAAAAGAAAAACATAAAAACAAAATGTCAGGATATTCAAAATATATCTAAATAACATGATATGTCAAATATGTAATCTGTACCCATGGAAAATTATTTATCACATTGACTATGTGCTCACATTAGAGGGTTTTTTTTTTTTGAGACAGGGTTTCTCTGTGTAGCTTTGGAGCCTATCCTGGCACTTGCTCTGGAGACCAGGCTGGCCTCGAACTCAGAGATCCGCCTGCCTCTGCCTCCCGAGTGCCTGAATTAAAGGCGTGTGCCACTAACACCCGGCCCTCACATTAGAATCTTAAGAGAAAAATCAGGGTACAATTGATAAATCTCAGATATAGTAAAAAGCACATTTCTAAGCAGGCTTTGGTGGCACACGCCTTTAATCCCAGCACTCAGGGGACAGAGGCAAGAGGAACTCTGTGAGTTCCAGGCCAGTCTGGTCTACAGAGCAAGTTCTAGGACAGCCTCCAAAGCAATACAGAGAA